AGGGGTCTCAGTAGTCTTGGCAGAGAATAAAATGGCTGTCCAATATGTAAATACTCTATTAAAACATAACGTCAACACAATATGCACATAAACAGATAAAACTTGCTGTTTGCAACCTCCAGCAATTAAATAGAACCATGTACGGTCACACTTTCATCTGGGAATTTGGAAGTTGAACTGTGAATACAGAATATATGGTATAATATTCTTTTAATGCACAATTTCCTGATGAGAATTTTAAGCTGATGTTGCAGAAAATATATCGATTTGAACATACAAAACATCAAAAGTATGAATAATTAGCAGGTTTGTGATCGTTTCTTTTTGGTTTCTGAACAGAATCTGGAGTCTTCCAGGTCACAGTTTGTAGTTTCAGATTTTTTTTTTTTTACTAAAGTGACTGTTTAAGTGTGAAGGTGTTGACCTGCGTGTGCGGTCTTAAACATCATATTGAAATGTGTTTGTGGAAGAAAACATTGTGAACACATCTGCAAAATCTTTCAGGACACAGAAAGAACACAGCAGCAGTATAACTGATGCATCACATTTATTTAACCCGAATTGAAAAGGTGATTTGATGCAAAAGAGTTGAAATTCTGCATAACCAAACATCTAACTTGCTGTTTTCCTCTTTACAGTGTAACAATGACAAAGCACATTTGTATCCCAGCATGGCTTCAGCGGTGTCAGATGCACAATTAATTACCATATGTACGATAATTAAGCCCTTTATTTAAAAAAAACAAACACAATTTTAATGTCTAGTCTCAGTTTTTCCAGCTGATTTGGGATTAGTCAGATTATACATACATTAATCCTTCATGTGCAGTTAATGATTCAGTCACAACTCATGAGAAAGCCACTCATACACTCTAATAAACTCAATCTTTTGGTGTGGATATCCTTAAGTTTACTTTAATTTATTGCACAGAAAACTATTTAGGCAACCTGTAACATATTTGTCTGCACACGAGGATGGATATTGAGTCCTGTAGCCAACATCACTGCAGCAAACTTGTTGATCACATTTAACCCACATTTAAGCACTTGTTGTGATTCATATTTGATATACAAGTTTTTACTGGAGTCCTTATGTGATTACTTGGTTTGGTAGACCTGCTGCTTTGTCAGTTAAATCAAAAATCTCAACCCTGTAATGACATGGTGGATTTCAACAGAGACAGAAAAGAAGCTACAGAGACAGAAATCTCAGCAGCAGAACCTCAAATCAACCCGGTTCAGCGGATCTCCTTTCCAAACTCCTCCGATGCGTTAATTTCCTCCTCTCTCTTTTCTATTTCCCTCCACTGCGAAAGAGCAGTTTCCATTATGCCACAGGTTCACATTAAGGAGATGGGAACAGGCTGGTACCTGCAATTATCCCTGCTCACCCAGCCGTGGGTCACTAGGTGCCGAGCAACAGCTGGCTCTCTCTTTCCCCTCGCCGCGCACGCACACATTCACACTCATGCACCTGCACACCACCCTCCTCCGCCTCCAGACTCCTACCCACCCATTCTTCACATCCACCTGCCAAGCGGCTTGATTAATAAGGCCAATGCTCACAGCGAGGCAAAACCACAGACACAGAGGGGAGGGAGGGAGGAAGAAGAACGAGCGCAGAGTTGGTACAAAGAAGCCTACAGTATGTGACCATGTACTATGTAATATATTCAAGCAGCGAAAAAGTGATCAGTCATCCTGCAAGCATTGGGAGAACGAACCGCTTAAGTATAGCCGGGGGTGGGACATGGGGTTTTTTGGCCACTTGGGAGCAGCGGAAACAAGTTGGGAACACATTATGTTAACTAACAAATATTACAGCGTCGAGGAGGCAAGTGGGTTCAATTTCAAATCATAAGAAAGAGGAAGCATTGTAATTATATGCATACATGGTTACCCTAACCTACTGTAACTCCAACTAATGGTATTGGTATGTTTTGTCATTTGAGGTTTACCTTTTTATGAAATAGTATCAAACCATATTACATCCTTTTTAATCTAATGAGTTATGAATTACAAACAGCTGTTAGTCAGTGGTGACGTTCTTGTTTCTACCTGCAACATCTGAGTTTTGTGTCCTCTTGGGAGGAAGTTGGGAATGTTACGTTTACAGTTGTGAATAAAAGTTTTCCTGTAAACACCATGTATATCACGTATATATGAGTTTTCAATGACTCCGAGATTTCTTAATTTTCTGTCACGCAATCTCTGAAACATGTGCATCTTTGTCACAAAAAATAAAATTTGACTCTTTGATTGGTCTTCTGGAAAAATGACAGATTCTGCTGGTCAAAAATATACATACATCAACTTTGAATATCAGTTTTGGTGATACAGAATGTGGAATATATATAGTTAATATACAACTGCCACTACCTCTGTCCAATATCCACCAATATCCACTCTGTGCAATACACACTGTGCTTATCATTTAATTTAATCTTTTTATATAGATTCCCCTTTTTTGGTGTTTTATATTGTATATAGTTGTTTACAAACTTTAGATATATATGTATGTATGTACATTGTACATTTTCTTAGTGGAATGATCTTTTACCTTCTCGTAAGTGATCACGGTCTACTACAGCTGGTGACTCCTCTGAGCCAGTTTAATTACAGCCCATTAGTCATTTCCTGACTGTATTTATCATTGTATTGTAACGGTGATGCATCACAAAATAGGACACAATGTCAACAGAAATTACACTTTTAGTTGGACAAGAAAGTTTAGTTTTAAAATACATGGCTTTGTATGTATGTACACATGGAGAGTTATGTTGTTCCTTAGAATTAACTAGTATTTATACTGTTAAGAATAAAGGACATATTTGATTTATTCCACAGCTTACATTTATTCTCGCTAACAGCAGCATGTTTTGTCATTTTAAGTGTTTTTTGAGGCGTTTTTTTTGTTGAGAAATATACAGATTTTCCCAGTTTACATTGTGATTAAACTGCTTCTTTTGTTTTTCACCAAGAACTTTTGTTATGTCCCATCTACAACATCTTACCAAACAGCCACCAAACAGATAAACTTGATGATAGACTCAGGGGTGGAGTCATGGGTTGGGCCGAGGTGGCTGCGGCCCCCAACACAGCCAACAGTGAAGCCTAATGTCTCTTAAATTGCAATATCAATAATTAAACACAATTACTTGGAACAAAAAATCCTCTTTAAAAAAAAATCTAATGAGGACTACATAAATAAAAAACCCTACGTATGAGTCCTCATGGCAGACATGCCAGCATAAATGGATGATGAAACTAATTGACCATAAACATTGGCTGACACCGATTTGCCAAGATAACAGTTACTGTGCCACCTCAGTTGGCCTCAGCCTGGCCACCTCAATAAAAGATGTCTGGCTCCGTCAGTGAATAGGCACGTTTATTTACAATCTATTTACTAATGGGTCAATCTTTAGGGTGGACAAAGGCCAGAACAAGTAACAGGTTAGGCCAGGACAACCTGTCCCAAATAAACGAATGAAAATACACTCTAATTAGCATTAGATAAGATAAAACTTCAATATTCAGGACAATTATTTGATACAATCCACATTTATAGCTGGCTCTTGTCACTCAGATAACTCATCCTGGGACAGCCCACAACACTGTGTAATTGGCAAGCGAACATTAGCTTTGCTCATCGGTACATGATGTTCATCCTGGCAATACTGGGCGTGAATTTTTAGTACCAACTAGTTCCTGTTGCGCAACCTGTTTTATATTTAGTAATGTCTAATCCTCCATTTAGTAAACACTGATGTTACAATACGGCTAAGCTAAGCCATTTAATGTACGTCTTGTGGAAAGATCTGTGGTTGTAGATTTCTTTTGGAATAATGGGGATATGTCCCCCCAATAAAAACCTTAAAAAAATGACTTGATAAACCACTATTATGTTTATGTAAATGCAACAATACCATCAACAGAGGCAGTAAATCAATCAAAGGTATGTTATGAATGCGCAGAAACGTCGCTGAAACACACAGGAGCTGTTAAAGTTCAGTCGTCTATAAACTGATGCAGAAAAAAGCTCAAATCGGTGCAGAAAAATTCACAAGAACGCAGGAAATAAAGTGTTTGATGATTAAAAACTTCCCAGAGGAGGACCCCAAGACCTCTGCTTAATGCTAACTCCACCCCAAATGTTCAAACTAAATCTACGCCCAAGGATGGATTAATCATAAAATATTTTTTTTTAAAAAGACAAAAACTGAAGCTCTTTTTCTTGGCTCCCTGCAAAGACAGAGAGACAGTGATCCAGATCAGAGGGCATGGTAGCAAAGTGCTTTGTCAAATCTGGCCTGACTTTCCATCTATTTTAACAACTGCAGTCATAAGCAATCCTGCAGATCTATGAAACTTATCTTCCTTCCTCCTTCCTCTTCCCCACGGCTGCTGAGGCAGCACCTGGATTTAAATGACTCGACTGATAGCCACAGAGACGGGGATTCATTCCGGAGCGCTGCTGTTATGGATGGGGTGACGTTGGAGGCTGCAAAATTAACCTCAGACCTGCTCCTGTTCTGTATCATACCGTGACAGACGGCTGGCACGAGGAAAAAAAAAAAAAAGGAGGCAACATGGTTTTCTTACTGCACATAAAGTTCAAACTGCATTACCAATTTTCATATAACCAAGCCTCTATATCAAGATTGTGAGCTGTAATCGCATTATTGCAAGTCTCTAGACATAAACTTAGACATTATTTCACATTTATTCCTTCCTAAATACATATTTGACATGAAATAAATATGAAAAAAGAGCATTGCATTGTTTTAAAAGGGAATAAAAGATGAAAAATTAACATCTACATTTAAAAAAAACATATTTCATGAGTCAGCTTTTCACTCAAACTGCAAAAATACACCCTATCAGGCTAGTTTCTCTGCAAAACAATCCTTAAATCTGACTTTAATTCATTGTGGAAGAAAACAGGAATTGTTATAAAATAATCATTCTCTTTACGTCCTACACATCCGACACGACACTGTGTTTGAAGGGATTTTTATTATAGGAATACAGCACTTTCGATCTGATAGACACCTGGTTAATAAGTCAATGGACACTGATAGGAGGATTACGGAAACTTTTCCAGCCTCGTGTAGGAATTACTGGATGCAAACCTCACAGGTAATTTCCTGTTGTACTCAAACAGCGACAATGAAATGCTGCCACGTGTGTTTTCCACACAGCAGCCACTGGTCAAGAGGTAGACACCCCCATCTAGTGGGCCAGGTCTCCGGATAATGACGTAAAGAATCGGTCATAAAACAGTTAAAAGCTCTGGTACTGCACAATCAGAATGACTGTGCTCATTTTTCTCAATCCTGAACTCTCAGGTAAGGTTGGGCCTTTAAAATTACAGCTTTAAAGCAATTGAAAAATGACGCTTCCTTATAGTGTGGTACTTTTCTTTTATGTTTTTCATCTTTTTTAGTTGTGTTTTTTGTTGAATTTGCTTAAAAAATTACATTCATTGGTGTGCGCAGTGCAAACAAGGCACATAAGGATTATGTTTTGGAGATTCTGGCTGAAATGATGGTGACAAAGCCAGAATGATTCTACATTACTTTCAAGAAGGAGTCCTGTATCATGCTCTCCACCTCCTCTACCAACACACTGTAATCTGCCGGACAAACAGTGTGTCGCCTCCTGACACTTTCCTTCAGGCATCTCATCATCTCTCCGTGTGTTTCTGGTCTGGATGCGGCGACTTGCAGCTTCTTCAGCTGCTCAACAGGATCCTCTGGAATATTGTGGATTTGTAAAGCTTTGAACACAGCGGGAGCGAATTTCCCGTAGTGAGCGGTGGAACAAAGCACCACGGGGCACGAGCCGTCCTGCAGCCTGTCGGCCACGACTTTCGCCACGCCGGTGTGCGTGTCCATGACGTAGCCCGTCTGCGCGCCAACGCTCTGGATGGCGGCCAGGCAGTCGTCCTCGGAGCACCAGCCGGCCTGCACTTCCTGCTGCATCCTGCCAACGAGAGACTGAGGAACCTGAAAGTGCTGCTGCCCGTCTAGGCGCGCGAACAGGTCCTTGACAAGGCGGCTGTCTCCGTCTGAGACGTGGTAGATAAACCTCTCCAGGTTGGAGGATTTCAGGATATCTATAGCCGGGGAGTGGGACGGCATCAGAGGCCGTCCCCGCAGATCGTATTCGCCTGTGTTGATAAAGTCGGCGACGACGCAGTTGTGGTTGGACGCACAGATGACTTTCCTTATCGGGATGCCCATTTGCTTGGCGTACACAGCTGACATGGCGTTGCCAAAGTTGCCAGTAGGGATACAAACATCAACGGGCTCCCCGAACTTGATAACACCGTCTCTGCACAGATCCAGATAGGCTGAGGAATGGTAGACCACCTGCAAGAGGAGCAAAAGTGAAGAAATCTGTGTTAGGGGGTTGCAAAATAACACCGTGCTGCTGCCAGAGTGCAATGTCTAACGAGGGAATATCACATGAAATTTCCCAACACTATTGCAATGCAGCAGCTCAGAACAGAACAGATGATGCAAACTGCATGTTGAAGGAAACTGACAAGTTAATGCCTTTGTTGCAACCTAAAAGACTAATGAAGACCAGAGGGTCCTCTGGAGTTTCATTAAATGTCCCAATTTCAGTGCAGAGCATCTAATGGCCTGAAGAACAGACAGTCTGCAATTACACAAACTAAATCTGGTGGATCCTGAAGGTTGATTCTCGTGGGTTGTTTTGTTGTTTCCTGGCAGTTTTTAGGGAAAAACTTGACTCTGGTACATCTTTCTATCATTATGAGATATTCAATTTAATGTTGAATCTCCATAATTTTCAAATAAATGTTAAAAAGAAAAAAACAACTGCGGTATTTCTAAGATCATGATTCCCATTTTCAAAACCACATCTTTTCAAATCAAGCTTCATTTTGATATATTCCAGCACAGAAATACGCTCTTCTCTTGAGTCATGGTTTGAGACAAAGTGAGGCTTCAAAAAGATGAAAATGTTCTCTAATTAACTGAAAAATTGGACACTGAATTAAATGTTTTTGTTGATTCTGATTTTGTTTCTTGAGAATTTTTCTTTTTTTTACATCTTTGAGGTTTAATATGAGCATAAGTTACCATTTTCTTTATCTATTTCTTTTCAAGCACATTGAAGACTTTGTTTTTTTTTAAGTTAAATTGAGCATTTTCCTGTTTTTTTAATTCTTTTTGACCAAACAAGCATCTAATTGATCAGAATTTATTTTCACACATCACATTTAGAAAAGCACAGGAGCAAATAATGTAAATGAGCACAGATTTATTCCCTTTAGGTCCCTCAGCTGCTTGATACTGTGAATATCTGCCACAAACTTTCTGATCCTTTTAAACAGGAGGTTGGAAAACAAGTCCAATGATCTGCTGCCTATTGTATGAAGTAATCCGTGATCATCATCCCACCTGTGGCAGCAGTCGTGCCCAGTTGATGGAGTTGGCGGTGCTGAGGACGGTGCCGTACTCCACAGCGAGATGCCCGGTCAGCCCCGACTCTCCAAACATCCTCTTGATGGTTCTCTGGCAGAAGTCGAAGTCTGACAGGACGCTGACGGCCCGGGCGTTTCCCTCCCTGTAGCTCGTCATCTGGAGCTTCTGAATCTCGCTCACTCCCTCCTCCGGGAAAAACACCAGCACACCCGTCCGGTTTCTGTCAACGCCGCTCAGCCTGCTGAAGCCGCTGAGGACGGCGCTGCCAGTGTCTCCAGACGTGGCGACCAGGATGAGGTAGTTGCACATGGGCGGGAGGCAGTAGGCGAAGAGCTGCGGCATCAGCTGCAAGGCCAGGTCCTTAAATGAGGCGGTGGGGCCGTGAAAAAGCTCCTGAACGTACTGATTGTGGGTGAGGTGTTTTACAGGAGCGATGGCCTCACTAGAAAAGTTTGACCCGTACGCCTTGAATATCATCGCTCTGAGATCCAAAGCGGAGACGTCCAGCGGGTGGATGCACTTTTCCAGTAAAACTAAAGCTCGTTCCTGGTATGACATGGAAGCTAATCTCAACCATTCACGTGCATCAATCTTTGGGAAGCCATTTCTGGGAACATAGAGGCCTCCGTCTGCAGCCAGACCCTCAACAACCACATCACTGAAGTAGGTTTTCTGATCGGACCGTCCTGCGCCATCACACCTGGTTGATACAAAGGTTTCCTCATCATGGTTCTGATATCTCCTCACAGCTTTCAACACCTTCTCAGCTACCTCCTCCACTGTGTCTCCCGTCCCACACAGAACCCGAACATCGAGCCATTTCTCATAGAACTGTTTCCTGTAACGCAGGATGTCGCTCATGGAGACCCCGGCCTCCTGGCCCACTATCCTGTTCACCTTCATCCTGGTGAGTCTCTGTATGATGTCCTCGCTGTCCACGTCCAGGTAGACGACCAGCCCGCCTTGCTTGACGTGCTGCATCGCCTCAGCGTGGAGAGGGTTCGAGCCTGTCAGAGAAACAACACACCCAGAAGCAGAGAAGTTGCACAAAGCCTGACCTTCTTCCTCCAAGAAACGCTTTCCACCGACGGCTGCCAGCTTGGCAGCCACGGGCATCTTCCATGCCGTCTCCAAGACGTCATCGTCAACGTCTACGACCGGCAGGCCGAGTTTGTGGGCCACTATCTTCCCCACTGTGGTCTTCCCTGCTCCAGGAGGGCCCATGAGCAGGATGTTCTTGTCTCCCAGGGGGGTGGTTTTGGTGGAAAGCCATGATTTTGATGTTGAAAGGGGGCTCAGGCAGCATCTGGCGGCTCTGACTGCAAGCTGACTTGCATTCAGTAAACCCATTCAGAAATCAAATGAGAGCAGCTGTTTCTCCTGCGAAAAAGAAAGTAATTCAGTTCAGCTCAGACTTTATTAAGGACACCGCTCATGGAGGGGCTCAAATAACTTTTTGTAAATGTCCTAAATCCTTGTGTAGTGTCATCAGACAGCTAGACGCCTTTCTGTCCTCCTTATTTATGAAATTATCAACATTTTGATGTATTTGCCGTCAAACTCTATAACGTACTAAAAAGAAGTCCCCACTACCTTTAAAGACCAGAACTAACTGAACAGAAAATAACAAATCCTCTACCTGCATCAGGTGGTAAACAAAATGAACTGCTAATCATACACCCAGTTATAGTGCACTGGCATTTCATTAACTTTATCTGATGTGTAAATCAGAAAATCTGGATTCTCACAAGAAACAATTTAGAAAGCGTTATTTTTCATTATTTAAATTGTAAAAAAGTATAAGCAGCATCAATAAAACAGTTGAAAATACTAGAATTATGCCTACTGCGTTTATTTAAAATGACTTTTAAGGCTAAAATGGACGTCAGTGCCACGCAGCAGCACTTTGAACAGAAGGGTGGTAATCGCTGCACATAAAGCCGTTATTGATTGTATAATTTAAGATGATCGCCTTGATGTAATGTGCAAGTTGGGTTGCGATAAGTTTGCACGTGTTTTGCTGCGACGACAGTCACAGTGATCGTAAATCAACGTTTAAATGAGCGACACACTCACGTGAAATGCAATGATGACTTTCCGTATTTCAGTTCTGTTAATAAATGTCAGAGTCTGTTGTTAAACATGATTTGTTTGTCCGGGAAAGCACGATTCTCGTGCATGTTTGACGGGAAGCTCACGCTGGACAAACAACTACGGGAAGCCCGAAGAGACAAAATTGTTGGATTTTTTTCGCATCCAAAATGTTTGTTGCAATAAAACCACCTCTTCTCAATATTCTAAATCATGTATGCATCGTATTCATGTGGCGTAACGTTGCTGGTGTTTTGAAATTCATACAACTATGATTTTTGTATCGCGAAACCTGCTAGTACCCTGTGCTGCGTTCATGTGCATCATAGAACCTCGTAATTCAGTGAAATAAACTTGAAATTACGATTTGACTCTATGATCATTCCAAATTCGCCTTATCAATTTCAAGAAAATGAGACAAGCATAAACAACAGTATTAAGGTTTTGATTGTAGCTCAATTATAACCATTAAATGACAGAGATACTTCAAAGATGTTAGTAACATGATACATTTAGGTATGTGCGTAATTTTTGGTGCGATAAAGAAAAATTAGTTGTTTGCGGGATAATTTCTAAACATAGTTTAAGGCAGCACACCTGTATTTACATTTGTACAGTTTAGATCAAACAGGAAGACGCGACACAATCTTAAATTTTCTACTTTACGACTATACTAAATGCAACAGTTTCCTTCCTTGGTTACCTAGCAACTACTTGGCTTTAGTGTTGTCAAACAAATTAAAGTTAACGTTACCTCGGTCATTTGCCGCCCGCTGAACCTACTGTGTCGTTTTTGATATTTATTCCAAAGTCTTTTTGAAGTTATCAAAGATGTCTAAAGCCGAGTATCCACCAGAAAGCATCTACGCTCATCTTCCAGAGGAGGAAAGTCATACTGAAAAACCTCCGAGGTAAAAGACTTCACGTTATCTTAGCTAACTTCGCCAAGTTAGCTTGCAAAGCTAGCTCAGCTAAGCTATAGCCAGCGTGTTATTAGCTGATGAGTTGATAAAGTTAACAAGAAACGAGCTCTGTTGTTGTTTAATCCCAAATTTGACAACTTTAACCAGATAGCAATTAGTCATGAAAGTACTGGAGAGTATCAGACGAATCCTGCCAGTAATTTAGTTTTATTTTTTTCTTTCTTCAACCTTATTTCAGAAATAACAAATAAGTAGCTTTACTGTCACTTTATTTCATTTGGTTATGGAAATAAACAAATGTCACGACTTCATATTCTTTCTGTTTTTATTTTATTCATGAACCTCAGATGAAGTGATTGTGTGCTGTTTTTAAAGGTATGTGTCCAAGTTCAGACCAACTGTTGTTCTGGAAAACAAGTTATCTAAGGACACAATGAGAACGATGGGACCAGCGAAAGTAGAATTGCCTTCTCCAGATAAATACCTTAAGAAGAATTCAAAAGAGTCCAAACCCTATGAAGGTGACTTCATCTATTAGGTTGTTTTATCAGTGTCTGGGTTTGAGTGGTGATTATGAGATTGTTGTCTTTTTTTTATTTTTTTGCATCCTTTCAGCGACAGAGTGCTCCAGAGGTGCTCATAAAACCTGCTCCTGCACTGAGAGGAAAGCACCAGTTCCTGCAAGGACTGACAACCCACTCATGGGAATTCACACCAAGAGGGACTTCATAAAGACAGCTGTAGCAGTGCCTAAGAAGCCACAGCCTATATGTGTCGACACTAACAAGGGACACAAGCAGCCCCTCGAAAACTCAGGACTTGTCCCCAAGTTCATCAAGAAAACGGTGTTTTCCAACAATGTTACTTAAAATGGTTTTTATTAAGTCTGCTAAATGTTTGGAAAAATTTTAAATATTACTAGAATATATATAAAATATATCAGTACATCATGAGTAAGTCAGTACAAAAATCTAAATTATATCCATATTTTTTAATTTATGGATATAAAGATTCATTTTAGAGCCTGATGTTATATTTAAACAGATCCATGTTAAACATATCATCTAACGTTCACCTGTTCCTACCGGCAGGATTATGGTAAAGTACCTGCATACCTGCAGCAGCGCAATGACGAGAAGCTGAGGGCTCAGGAGGAGTACGAGAAGTTTATAAAGGAACAGAGGGAGCAGGGAGCTCTGAGACAGGTGCCAGAAGAGGAGCAACAAGCCGTCTTGGAGGTAATCTAACAAAATGCTGCACAATGGCAGGTTTTTTTTTTTTTTTACAGCATGGGACATTTGGAACAACTGAAGTTTCACACAATTAATCTGATGATTTCATGTTTTTGAAGTTTAGGAAGTACTTTTCCCAGTCCTAATAGGCAAGGAGGATAGCTCATTAAAATTTATACATATTTAAAAAGAGGCTTTGAGAGGATGCAAAGCAAATTAAAGGTATTAAATTAACTCTCAGAGTGAACTGTGCACATTTTTGCATTGTACTGGTGTATATGCACAAACATGTCTTCAATCAACACTCAGAAAATTCAGATAATTCTCACTGACACTAGAGAATTATCTCTTTACTTTGTCTACTGCAGAAAATAGCTCTGATTGATGTTTGTTTACTCTATCAAAGCCTTAAGTCCTGACAATTATCTTATCACACTGATTGTCTTGTGGCATTGATTTGTGACCTTTCCTTCCCTGAATCCACTGTGCAGAACCTGAAGAAGAACTGGGATATGCTGCATCAAGAGTACCAGAGCCTCCCTCTGTTCATCGAAACCCTGTCACAGAAAGCCCACAAGATCCAGCTTGAAACAGAAATGAAGCAGCTGGAGAAGGACATTAGCTTCTCTGAGAGGTTCAAAACCATCTACGTATCCAAAGATTAGGACATTAAATTCTCAAAAGTGATCAAATACACTGCACTGAATGTCTTTAGTTCCTCCTCACATTACATATTAAGTGTGAACATCAGATTAAATATCTGTCACTTTAACTTAAAAATAATGCAGTTATTGTCAGATGATTTAATTTTGAATCATTCAACATTTTGGTGGTATGCTCAGTTTTGTTTTATGCTAAATGGCAATAAATAAATGCGATAAATACAATATTGCAGGGTTACAAAAATCTGTCACAGATCATGTCAATCCAAACAGAATGTTATAGCAGTCCGGTCAGTAGCTTAGACATCTCACTCTGGATCACTGACACTCTTTGGTTTGCATCAAATACCATCTTTGTATTTCTCTAAAATGTTACAGATTTTCAAGGAAAACTGGCAGTTATTTTTATTTTATTTTATTTTATTTTATTTTATTTTATTTTAGAAATATTCAAATTTTAAATGTATTTCTTTCCTGCCTTAAAAGTTCATTTTCTTGTGTGGCAAAAAGAAAAGTTACAGGGTAGCCATTAAAGAGTATCAGTTCCAATCTGAAACAAGTATTTGTTGATAATTCTTTTACATTTTCCAGCAGTGGCCTGTGATGCGGCCACAAGCCAGCATAGCATCACATGAAGCTGATTATCCACGTAAGTCTCCGCGACCGAAACAACAGTTTCCTTTTACACAAATGACTGAAGCGTGATCCCACAGCATGTGTGGCTAGACAGGACGTCTCTGGATATCTTTCATTTCTTTTCTGGGCTTTGTTAGCGGGCGCTGAAACGAAGGCAACTAAAACAGTAAGTGATGTTTTGGCAATAACAGATTAGAAATGTTGTTCAGCAGGTTACTGTAGTTCACATGTGCACAGAGAGAATGTAACTTTAAGGTTTCAGTTATAGAAGAACCTTTTCTCCAGATGAATATTCAACCTAAACCCAATGTAGCTTTTCCTCATCTTGCCCTACTTCTTAGACTACAACCATTAAGAGGGAGGTAACAATCCATTATTTGCTGTCATATATGTACAACCAGCTAATTGTTTGTTTCCTCTGAAGGTCTCTGCCACGTGGATCCTATATTTTGAATCTTTACCACAGTGGGGACCTATGACAGATGGACAACTCACAGATGAAAAGAGGAATTGTGGTATGTTTAACACGCATCCATGTTGCGCCAACACAGTTCAACAGCAACACTATTTTTTAACAGTTATTTTCTCAGTTATTAGTGCTTTTGTTTTCTGAATAAATTCCTTGAAGACATATTTGTATTAATTCTAAGGTTGTTATATGCTCTCAACCCAGAAGAGCATATTTAGATTGCAGTCAGCATCAGCAGTAATAACTGTTTCACATTTAAATGCCAGCTTTTCTCTTTATCTTTATGTCTTTTTGTTTTGGCTCAACAACTAATTCAGTTGAAGGACGCGGTCCCTGGTAGCACAAATAAATGCTGTGGCTACCTTTCCAATACAAAATGCTGCTGTCATGCTTAGTTGTTTTAAAGTTAAAAATAAAGCTAAGACCAGCTACAAAGTAATTGAAATTTGACTTTTTAAAACCCACAGCTTTGGGAATGCCTCTACATGCATGACTTCCTAAACCAAAATATTCCCAAATATGCAAAGTAACACCCTGGCAGTCATGATTACAATGGTATTAGTCCTTAAAAGTCTACCAGCCCTTCCAGGACTTGACTATATCCTCACCCAGTACAACAGGATTGTGTATCTATAGTGCCGTTATCTCTGATAGTCATCTGTCCACCCCAGATTAAAGATGACTGGCCAGGCTACAATCTGGACCTGTTCACCTACCCCGAACACTACCACGAAGACATAGAGAGTGTTTACATCCCACACGGGGTGATCATGAACAGGTAAGAACGCAGATTGCGCGGGATGAGAATTGAATCAGCTCCTGGGTGGGATTAGTGACGTGATTTCTCCTGTAGAATAGAGCGCCTGGCCCGATACATCACGGACGACTTTGGGGACAGCAACATAATGGTGCTGTGTGTCCTGAAAGGAGGCTACAAGTTCTGCGCGGATCTGGTGGAGTTCATCAAGGTGCTCGGCCGCAACTCCAACAGGTACCTGGAGACGCGAGTGGAGTTCATCCGTCTGAAGAGCTACTTGGTAGGTCAACTTATTTGCGCACCAGAACGTTTCACAAATCACAAATTTTGCCTCAAACGGCTTCACAATCTCTGTGCTTAAACACTACTACAGGAAGTAGGTTTTTTGGGTGGGCACATTTGGTACTTGCAGGTCCAACATAAAACACCTGACCTGCCATGAGGTGTGGCGCATCACCTGTGCATTTATTTCAGCGGCAGTTTGGTGTTTTGGTGGAACTGTTATACAAAATCCCTCATCTCTCTTTCCACTTACTTAGTGTCAACTCTTTAACAAAGCCAAATATGTCCCCAAGATGTGCCTAACATCTGGAATATTACTGACTTCTTGAGCAAAAATGTAAAATAATCATGTGTTCCAGCTGCTCAAGTGTGAGGGTTTCCTGCTTCTCTCAGTTTGATATCAGTTTGATGAGCAGTTTTCCTTTTTTTTTGTACATTTTACAGACAAAACAAATGTAAAATTAAGTTTTATTCAAAATATTAATTCATTACAGCTGTAATTGCATGCATAAAGTAATTCCCCCATTTTTAACATCCCTTATGTAACCAGAGAATGCTTTGAAATGTTGAATTTACCAGCAGATGTCACTGTTGTTCCTGTTTAGCGAGGACACTCATTCAGGACACCTCAAGGACGATCAACTGCGGAGTGACTGCAGAGTTCAGCTCATGAAAATACCAGACTGCTAATTGACGCGCTTGCTGCTGCCAAGAAAAGCAGCTCATGACAGTGTCTAACACCTGGAATGTAAAAACTGTGGAATTAACTGGGGTAATGATATAGCAATGTTTACAATGAAGTCGCCGTGCAATCGTCGGCACGGTCACTTGTTATGTAGTGGTGTGTTTTGGCACACGTCTAAAAGGGTCTGATTTGTATTTCTCAGCATGCGTGTGCATTTTTGACTCCTTTTTCTAGCACAGGGGAGAATTCATATTTTTTTCTGAACTGGTTTTTACAAAAGTTTAAGAAAGACAGAATTGGTTGAATTAAACAGAGTGATATTGAGGCAATGCTATGATGCAACAATACCTCTTTAAAGGCAAACATTAAGGTTTTTACATCCTAGTAGGACAAAATGGCCAAAACATGGAAGTACACAGGGCTACATGGGATTTATTCAAGTAATGGTAAATACTAATACCCCTGTGAGTGTTATTTTATTCTGAGATCAGCAGATCCACACAAGAAAAACAGACAACAATCAATGATAAAAAGTGACAATATGTGTTAAATTTATAACAATTAAGCTAATTTAAAAAAATCTAAAAAGATATCAAAGTTACAAAAGCATACAAGTAAAAAAACAGAATTCCCTTTCGATGTCAACAAACAACATGGTGTTAAGTAACAGCTGCTCTTGACGCTGTTAGTCAATCTGGCTGGTCATGATGGAGTCATGTGACCTGCCCCCGGTGCTGGGATTTTGTCCATGCCACTGCTGCTCTTATCCAAGTCATACATCTGTAGCGGACCGAATCTAACTTCAAAGCCGCCATTCTTCAAAGCTTTACACCGTGCTCTCAGCAGCAGAGAAAGAGAGTGCATGTCTGTGTTTACGTTCAGGATATTTTATCTCACGCTCATTGTGAAATAAGTCTCTCTTTGTGCATCCGTCTTGCAGTAATGCCGCAGATAGTTCTGTCTAATTCATTGAGAAACACTAAATTATCTCGGTAGTAAACACTCATGATGCTATTTCTCAACCAGATATGTGACAGATTATTTATTTTAACTCATTATGGCTGAAAAGAACAAATCTTAGGCAACCGTGCTGCAAGAAAAAAAATAAGTACAAAATGTACAACTTCTACATTGCAAATTTGATTCATCGCCATCCTTGTCTTCTCCGTTCCAGAATGACCAATCAACAGAGGACCTGCACATCATAGGGAGCCGAGATCTGTCTTTTCTGCGTGGAAAGGTGTGTGTGTGTGGAATTGTTCAGGATTTAGATTTTTTCAAAGCCTCAAGAGGGAGCTGTCAGTTAAACTGTCTGGAATCGAGCATGTTTTCTCAGGTGAACAGCAGCGAATCCACTCATGAGAGCTCACATTAGGACATACGGTTACATTTTTCTGCCTTTTTAATACACGCCACTGTTTCAAATATGCATTTTACTGCCCCAGACTTACCCTTAGAGCAGACCACACCCATACACTCCAAGCTCGCTTCTTCACAATCATGCTCATTGTGCATAACTCATGAGTGTCACTTTGTTACAGTGGTTTGCCCTTCACGCTGGCAATGAATCAGACATTTCAGGCGAACCCATGTTCCCACAAGGCAGATTTACTGACTGCTCGTCCCCGTTGAGCTGCGGCAGAAAGCGCTGAGGAGTCTGCAAAGGACGCAGGCTGCGGCGTCGTGAGGAATTACCCCCAGTCACATTATTCTGTGAGATAGACAGAAGACAGAAATGTTACTAAGTCAGCTGAATGGCTGAGCAAATATGCCCACATGCATTTGCTTAGAAGAGACTGATGTTGAATTCACTCAACTGAGCCGTCAAAATGGGCTTCGGCTCAGACGCATTTTCACCGTAGGGGGGGGGAAAGGTCAGAGGGAATAAAAACAAAAAAGGCTGACAGGCACCTCACACAGAAAACATGAATCACCAAAGCCAGCGCTCTCGTTATGAGCCTTCATCGAGCTGAAAGTGTTAAACAGAAACCTCCCACAAAGTGTCAAATACTATCGAAAAACTAATTATTAGTCATCCGTCTTTGCAAGAATCACAGAGAAACGTTGAGTCACAGCTCCAAGCAGATTACGAGTGCGCCGCTGTTAACGCTGCTCCTTTATAACCTGTTAATCTGTGCTGTGAAAATGGCAGCTTCATGACAGCTCAGTGGGGGTGAATGGTGACGAGTTAGATGGTGAGAGAAGGCCGGCGGCATTATCAGCACCGCTCCTTACGAAAGTCTTACCGTCAGTCCTGCTTCCTGTCCAGTCTCAAGTGATACGAAGGTGATCGCTTTCTGTTAAACTGGGAATTCTGTGAGCTGTTGTTGGAGACTGGATGCAGTACTGGTGCTCGTTTTGAAGAAGATACGGTATGTCTTACAGCTTCTTTAGGCCAAAGTTGAAAAGTTTTTCTTCATATTCACAAAAAAAAAGAAAGAAAACTAAACTTTTCATTTCCTCATTTGTCCTGAAATTTAAACATTTCACTCAGAATGTTTATCTCAGCTGTGTGCTATAAGGATAACAACGTTGATTGTGTTTGTCCAGACTAAAATCTTAATTATTTGTGTTTATTTTTGCATGGACAGTGCTCAATCTGAATTGCACCAGAGTTAAATGGCGGCAACTTTACATCAGATTGACTCAATACCTCAATAATTATCAAATTGTCTAGAAATTTGGTGATAAGTTTTTGGTCCCATGTATTGACTCCATCATTCTTAGACTTTGACGCTTGCGCCACCTGCAGGTGTTTTCACTTTGGACTGCAGCTTGAGAATACATGCACATAAACAAAACACAAACAAATTAAAAAAACATCTTGACCAATTTGACTACGTAGGAAACCAAATACTACAAATAGCACACACAACAAATGGGAGTGTTTCCATGTGAAGGACGCGACATGGACTTGCTTGTTGTTTCAGTAGTTTGTGACAAACAAATAGGAAACACGTGAGTTAATTTTCCAACTGCACTGACAGAACGTCAGTAACTTAACGTGTCTCAAACTCCTTCAACATCTGTGTCCTGCTCAATTTGCATGTAATTTGTCTATTTGCATGTGTTCTCTCGAGCTTCAGTCCGCTGAGCTCTCAGGTCCACAGAGAAGAATCTATTAGATCAATTCAAACAAAAGTTGGTGCACTCATTTATATTTCTCTCAGGATGAAGTGTAATAACATTCACATCTGGCTTTTCATCTAGCGCCCTCATCAAGTCAACATCTCACTGATGAAATAAATGTACATCAGCAGTAATGAGCATCTTAACAGCCTCAGCTAAGAGCATTAACACGGTAAACTAGTCATTTTCTAAAGGTTTCAGATGATTTATGATCTTATTATTGAAATAACATTATCTTATATTGCTATCTGACCCCGAGATAAAGCAAGTAGATTAAAAAAAAAACATCACCGCTTATTGACCAGTCCTCCCTCTGAAGCTGTGCGCTCTTTCCGCTCTTACATTTAGTATTCTGACTGAATATCATCAAAGTGTTTGCCAGAATCAGGGCTGATTTATTGAGCAGCAGAAACTGTGCAAAACTTGTCTTTTTGTGATCTTAGGAGATCTATAAAGCCTCAAACAACGATGCTGTACACATTGAAATACACGCTAATGCGCAGTTGTTGTCCAACTGGCTGCACAGTTTGGTTACAGTTTGCAGCAAGACGAGTTAGTTATGTTTGAGTTTTGTGTTCTTTACTTGTCCCTATCGACTCTGGGAGTGTTGTGTAACAGTGTTCAGGTGTAGACCGGGAACATTGGCCAGCTGCCTGCATTCTCTCCGATCACTCTCCCCAAACCATAGATACTCTCGGCTGGTCTCACAAAGAGTCCCATACACCCGGCCAAGGGAACAGGAATTCATTTGAAACCCTGCAGCAGGGAAAGTGTGCAACACCCGGACACTCTGAAGTGACTTTTTGCTCACAGATGTTCATTACTGTGGAGAAGAGAATGACTCGTCTGTGTTTTTGTTAAAGGGGCTGAAGATGCTGCCAGCATTGTTGCTATAGATACCATCTCTGAGTAATGCAAGGAAACAAATCAGCCTTTATTTTCGCTTTGCTCAAACAGTGTTCAATTTCAAAGGTGATGTTTCACTAATGTGTTTCTTCTTTTTTTTTTTAGAGTGTGCTTATTGTTGAGGTGAGTGTGTGTTTATTTACAATTACGCTTTATTTCTGTCAAGTAATTCCTTTAAATTAGCACCTTTTTGATGCTTTTGTGATATTTTCTTCACACTTCTCTGAGCATTTGATCCACAAACGGACCAAAAGAACATTATGTTTTAGTTACAAAAGCTTCTGGACTCAAGGTAGAAACACACAAGCACACTGTTACAAAGGGCCGTTTGTAGTTTTTGTTGCCTTAAAATGCAATATATATAATTGTACCTGTATTTAATTTCACACTTACTTAGCAGATAGTTTGGAACAGCTGCCCCAGTGCCATGTAATGTCTGAGAAGGAACAAATAACACACTAATCCATACATACCTCTCAAAGGCATGTCACCAAAACCTCTAAATTTCCTTTGTTTATGGAAAAAAGGCGACTCAGCTCTCAAATGTCCCACGTTCGTCCCTCTTCACGTCTCCCTTTTCCTTTGCTCTGCCCTTCCCCTAGGCCATCGTCGACACAGGAAAGACCATGAAGGCTCTACTCCAGCATGTGGAGACCTTTGAACCCAAGATGGTCAAGGTTGCGGGGTGAGCCAGTTTTTCCTCTCTTTTTCCCCCCATCTAAGGGAAATGCCAAGTGTGTGACGAGCGCAAGAAGAAGATATCACTTGTCTACAGTCGCCATCTCATGTCCGTGGTTCTGCTCCTTCCAAGATCACAGAAACAAGATCTTCCATCACACATGGTTCATATTGAAAGTTTATTTCCTTTGGATAAAGACAAAACTGCAATTTTTTATGAGCAATCAGTGGCTTGTTAACGTGATATTGTTACGATGAAGTTCTTTAAATAGCGTTTTAGAAATGTATTTCATGTGTTTCAGGCTGCTGGTGAAAAGGGTCCCTAACATGGCTGAAAGCCTGACAGACTGTAAGTATCCCCCTGGTGCAACCATCACTCAAGAGCTCCACATCACATCAATCATGCATGTCTTTTCGCAGTTTCTCAAAGCTCGAGTCGTTGCTGAACAAGTGTGGTTGTGCAAAAGTTATCTTCAAGCACAAGTTTTACTGTCATCGGAGTTGTTTTCTGACCTGAGAACCACCCCTGGTAAATCTTAGAATACAGCAGAGATGATTTTTTCTGCAAGGTTCCTAGCCTTGTGCATTGTGTCGAGGCCAACTAGTGATTTGGATGCCTGGGAAGAATTTTCTTTTTACTTGTAGCACCTGCTAAAACCAGCAGGGAGGAGACATCCAGTATCAGTCAGAAGAATTGAAGTTACTCTAATGGCAGCTACATACTGATGCAGCTTTAAAAGACTACATTTAACCTCCTTTCAGTTCCAACTTCTGGGACATTCTGGTAGCCTAATCGTTAGAGCACATACCTTTGTGGAATGTAATACCCCTGCTTTTTTTTCTTTTTCTTAGAACTTAGGTTCTCAGCAATAGATTCTGCTTCTAACTAGTTTTCTTGGTGTTTTTCTTGTTTACTTAATGAGATGCATGTTTTCACTCAAGGGTGCTTCATTAGCGCATGTCAGTCAGCCATAATGGTTGCCCCACTTTGCAATTAGCCCAAATACAGGCTTTAAAATCTGTTTTATGACACTCACAGGTGATATCACAGGTGCTGGATCCACATCAGTTCTTTGACCTCTAAATAAATTGGTATTACTGAGTATTTTTGAGTCCGGGCAAAGGGTTAAACAACATAAAATCTGTGTTTTTGTGCCACACAACCCCTAATTAATGTTGAAATTAACATAGGTTTTGCTGCTCTTTAAAATTCAAGCCTGTGTTTGCTTTGATAGATGTTGGATTTGAAATTCCCAACCGGTTCGTCGTGGGTTATGCCCTGGACTACAATGAATACTTCCGGGACCTGAATGTGAGTCCTGAGTTTACTTTCACTGCTGCTCGGCACATGACCTTTTGAAGACCTGAGAGAAAGAGATGAAAGAGACAGGAGGGGAGAGTAAACACAGTAAATCAAAGGGATGCACTCTACTCTGAAACCTAAACTCACCCAACAGGTCTCCGCCCCGCCTGAGGAGACTTTACATGTAGGCAAAGCAGCTCAGATCTCTGATACCTGATGTGCATGTTTGGTGTCTGACCGAAGCATTGCCATTCAGGACAGCAGTCAGAGTTATATTTACTTTTATAGAGTTCCACCCGTGAGAGCTGGTTGGTCAAGGAATTTTCTACAACTGGAACAATAGTGAAGTATGAGTGTGGTTTCTAGTTTTAAGCTTTTTAATCTGACAAAGATCCAACTGGGAATGAATCAAAAACCTTCTGCAAGACTTTCAAGTCTTGACAAACCACGAGTTCAGTGTGTTCGTCGTCTTAGCCAAGCCATGAGAGGAATTTCAGACACCACAAGCACCTGATCTGACATAGTTCCCTGTTAAAGAACGTAATTGTCACAGAGTTTGATTCTAGCATATGTTGGTACTTATATAAGCCAAGGTTAGGTCCAGTTGTAGCACACATTTTAACCTAACTTTCAGAAAATCTGCAAAAGAAAATGTGAATTTAATCATCTTTCTGTCTCGTTCTTTGTTAATATTGGGATGAATTGAATTAAACAACTGGTTAATCGTTCATTCAGTGCTATTAAACCACTGCACAAGAAGAAGGTACAGCATGATAGCTCAATTAAAAAAGCCCCACTAAATTGCATTTCTGGCGATTAATTTGAAAAAAGTCCCCCTAGCTTGTGTTTTTGTCTGTCGCCATTTTTCGTACGCTAAGTGGAACGGAAGCTTAGTGACATTTAAGTCACACACATCTCACAATTTATGACTCTCGGTCTGTTTCCATTGCACCAGTTTATACTCGACTTACTCCTTTTTTAGCTGCGAGTCAGGAGTGCAACCTTTCCTCTGTCAGTTCATTTCAAGCCGGTCTCAAATTAGCTGCGTGAACCTCCACGAACGCTGCCATCTTTACATCTCCAAAGACGTGGCCTCAAATTTACCTCTGACTCACGTGAAGCCCTTAGCCTGATTCCGTGTGCCATGTACAGTCTGATCTGCACGTATTGAATGTGCTGTCTGATTGTTTGAAGGGGGGGGCGGTGTTCATTATAAAACTTCGAAGGAGTGCGACCTGTGGAATGTAGAGGTTAGGATCTCATTATCAGGCAGCGTCAAAGCTTCCCCTCTTATCTGTCCTCATCCCACAGAAAAAAGTATGAGTTGAACCCCTGGGGCGCCCAGAGTTAGATTAATGAATGTGTCATATCTTTGTAGATTACATTCCCTGCTTTCAAATGATTGCAGGTTTTTATCATTTCAGACTGTATATGGAATTTCTCATAGTGCAGAGTGAGCTTAAGCAAATATTTTGCAGTCATCAAACGCAAAGTTTTTATGCAAGATTGAAACACGCTGCGAGGAATCTACCGATTTTACATTAAATTAAAGCTAATTTTTCCTTTCTCCCACTTCTTCTCTTTTCAGCATATCTGTGTCATCAGCAAAACTGGAAAGATGAAGTACAAGGTTTGAGAGAAATTACAGCCATAATTCGAGCACGGTTTTATGCGTCTCACCTTCTTCAGCAAGAAATGAAGAATCAGTTTTGCGTTTTTGTAACAGCGAGTCTTTTCACTGCTTTATTTAATGAGTTCAAATGTGTTTCCAAAAAAAAAACAACTTTATATTTTTATGCAATTTGTGTGCTTCCAAGTGCTTTCAAGTGAAATAACATTATCCAGCACAAAACAGGAAATCCAAACTTCTGGGAGGACTCTTTAACATGTCTTTGAATTAATAAACAAATGTTGGATTTGATGCAATTATTGCCTCATCCTTGCTGTTTGTATGTTACCGAGGAAGCACACAGGAACAAAGAAATGGATAGAACGAAGGGCTGCCCACCAGGAGAGGACGTTGGTGACAGATGGAGAGAGCTTATGGACGTTGGCATCCTCATGCCCGGATGACGCCCACTCTGACTCATGGAAAACACACAGTGGGCGCAGCAGGCAGGCAAACAGCGTCTCCGCACCACACTGGATCTGTTTGTTTCCAACTTTAAGCCTCACTGGAAATTAGGATCAAATACATGGGGATTTAAATATTAATTGGACAAAGACGCTATTTGTATATCAATTCTGGCTATACCTTAGGCTTTATGCATTCTCTGAGCCACCATAAGTCACTACTGCTCTCGTGTAAACAAACTTAGTATAGCAGAGGCCACCATCCAATCAATGTGTTTTTCTTTACATGGCTTCCCTTGAAAGCTGTGCAGGACAATGCATGTGCAGAATTTGACATCAGAAGCATGTTTTCACGTTCACTTGCTGAAAGTCAAAAGTTGCTCATTGCTTAATGGCTCTGAACGTATTTAAGTTCAATTCAGCTGCACCTTCAATTATTTATTTGTTGATCTAGCCACTCTCCGTTCCTTAAATTGCCCACAGGGCAAATAAAGTATGTTGCATTGCATTGTATTGAGAATGCACCAGCATGATTTAAGGGCATCACAAATGTTTTGTAGGCCAGTAGCACTCCTATATGCAGCTGATACAAAAACTTTCAAACCTCTAGTTCAGTAGTGTAGGAGACAACTTTAAAATTACAGATATTCAGCTGACATAGCTGCAATTTTATTTTTTTGTGTGTGGAGCATCGAACTTTTTGTGTTAAACCCATGACAGACATTAAATTAATATTACATGTCTAGAAAATTCATCAGTTACTCTCCTGCATTACAGTGTCAAGGTGTTACATCCCAACTTTGTAAAGGCAAAGGGAAGAACGTAAAACCATTTGTTTTTGGTTTGGTAAAGCAATTTATTGCTCAGTGACATACTTAATGAACTAAAAGGTGATAATACTATAAAGAAAACAGGGCTGGTGCTAAATCAAGGACCCAGATAAAACCAAACAAGAGCTAATGAAGTTGTAAACTTGCTACAGCAAATAAAAAACAAGTAACTAAAGGAAACAACTAAACTCCTTTTGCCAAACTTCAAGACAAGGTAGCAACTGGTTCAGGGTTCAAAGAAAAGCTAAACAAACATGTGCTTCAGAACACATACAAGCTCAGAGCTACGAGTAACCATTTTTCATCGGCTACAGAAAACACGAGGCGACAAGTAACACCAGATTCACGGTAGCTGTTAGGAGTTAAATGTTAACGTAGAACACGAAGGACACAAAAGGCACCGAGGTGAGACATTCAATCACAGCCAACCTGATTGTGAGTTGGGCTGCAGATTTAAACCCCAGGTGTGGTGATTGCTGCAATTCGATTGGAGGAGGAAACTGGGCGGTGGTCCAATCAGAATCTGAAGTCTTAAGACCAATCAGTCTAAATGACGGGCAGGTGGGATCTGAAGAGTGCTCTGTGGCCCACCATCTTTAAAAGTCCACCACAAGCAAATGTAAAAGCTTAGCCTTATCTGAAACTACAGTGGTTTACCTGCTTATTCCTGTTTTTTGTGTTTGAAAAATACATTTTAATGCTCTGAAATGTTAACCGTTTGTTTGTAATACAACACAAATAATGCAACAGCTGAATGAAATCATAATGTAGGGGGAAAAAGGTAGCACCAGATAAACTAGTGGTCCTAAAAGTTACCCACAGAGCTAAGCAGAGAAGAAGTAAATGCCAGCTTTACAGCTTTAATGCAATGTTTTTTTACTTGGCTATCTCTAAATCCTGCATTGTATTATTTATTATTATATTATATTATCATGAGTTCAAAAAGCGAGCAAGAGAGCTGCAACTTATTTTGTTTATAGATTGTGATTTCCCTCCGGCCTTCTCTTTGTGCAAACTCACTGATAATGACTAATCAGGCATCAACCCCTGTTTTCTCAGCAACACTTTGTGTTTACTTCCAGCTGTCTGCTTTTGTACTGTTTATAGTGAAAATGTCTTCACTCCACTGGATCACACATGAATGAATGCCGAGGCGCTCGTGTTTTTGCAGCGTCTACGGTGCTGCAGTCAGACTCTCTGGCCCTTCATCTCTCCGGGGCACACGGCTCAATGTAAAGGCCAGACAAAGTACAAACAAACACACAACACACACTCACGCCGAGGTATTTCGTATGTTCTGCTGCCATTGTCGGGGTGACTTAGAGAGTCAATTGTGCATATCAACAGACGGACCGGAGCACGGTTCACTTCACAGCGCGCACTTTGGGGAGTGTTATCATTTGGCTACGCACTTTTGATTTTCAGTCACCTGAAACTCCAAACAGCCGCCACATCACATAACAGGAATGCACACACACACATGGGAATTATTCTAAATGATTAGTTTTTACCATGGGACACAAAATATGGTGAAGTAATTAATAATAAGCCTTGTGTGTTTACTGTAGGAGTAGGAGTGTTCAGCACCACCGACTACCTTCACAGACCACCAAGGTGTGCGGTGATTGGTGGCCTTTATGGAGTGATTCCAAAATTAAATTACGCTATCTGTGTTTTTCTCACATTTCAGAAACATGTTTCTAAGCCAGAGGTAATGATCCAGATCCAGCTACAAGGCCTCCTCAGCTGAAATGACCTGACAAATGAGTTGCTATGTGGATAAAACCAACGACTGCGTACAAAAGAGTTCTGGGAGGTTTGGAGCACTCGGATTCCACGTTTTTTTTTTTTTTTTTAAATCCTCTCAGCTTTCATGCTAGTAGTGGTAAACAGCACCTTCACTAATACATCCGGAGGAGCCCTAAATCCAGCCAGGTTAGCTTTAATCACCTGTTGGTGAGCCCTAAGGTGAAGAGGAGGGAGATAAGAAAGAAGAGAAAACTTTACAAATTACTCAGCTGCCTGGTTTCGTGCTATCTGTGCAGCCCGAGCCACAAAGACCCCCATTGTACCTCCAGCTGCAACCCTCGTGTATCCTTATCAGAAAACATCAGCACTTGGCGGTAGTTGTTAACTTATCCCAGCACCGATGCCCCCCGCACTGCCCTGGGAACCCGCGGGCCATTGTCTTTCACCTTGATGCAGGGTTTGGTGAAAGCGAGAAGGGACAAAAAGCCTTGCAGGTTTCACATGCTGCGGCTTTGTAGCGCTCCGTCAGGGGAACAGAGGCTGGGGCCGACCGCTGAAAGTAGGCTACAGGTAAACTGCCGTCAACACAAAAGGAACAAAACGGGAATTGTGCATTTGAATGGCCACACATCCCTGCATTTGACATATGAAGCCTGCGGTTTTTAGACGGAGCAGTCGGATTGATTTCACCTCGGCAGCTCAGCAAACAGCATATGTATTCCTGAAACCTGTTATATATGTTTGTTCTGCCATGAAATGTCATCATATTTGCTGTTTTACTAATAGTTAGATGAGAACACTGACATCACTATCATATGTCTGTTAATATATTAAGCTATATCAAGTAGTTTGCTAGCTTAGCTTAGCATAAAGACCGCTACCTAATACATTATATCTCATTTAGTATGAAACCAGTTTTGGTTTTAGAGGACTTTTATCTTCTTTCCAGGTGTAGTGACATCCTGACCTTTACTTTTTCTAGAGATTAAACAAACAAAATACAAAATCGGGGTAAAACTATATCATGGAAAGGAATAGTTTGACAATTTGGAAAATACACTAGACATGAAGAATAATATCGAATGGCCATAAACTACACTGATTTTACCCCATTTAAATTACTTATGGAAGCACAAGCAAAATCATATACACAACTGAAAAAATTAGCACCAGAATTTGTGTTAAAGTTCAGTCAAGTGGAAGCACAAACTCAACCCTGATTACATTTGTTGGAATATCAGGTTTGCGATGCACAAACATTGTCATCTGTGGCTGATTCTCTCACTGATTTATATTCCTCTGGTGCAGTTGGATATAAAACCCTCCTCTGCATCACACACACCAAACCCCTACCACCTTGTTATATCACACACAGACTGTACAGTTTGTCATTTCCATCACATTTTTGCCTGATTGATGTTGAATGTCAAAGGTCAATATCGAATGCATTTTGCTGCCATATATTGATGAATCCTATGCATGCTGTATGGATTTTATACATTTTTCCATTGGGAGTGGGGATTTTAAGGGATGGACGTATATGACATTACTCTGATGTACACATTTGGGTCAGCTTAGCTTAGCTTAGCATTAAGCAAAATCTGAAAGCAGCTAGCCTGGCCCTTACCAAAAAATGATCCACCTTCAAGCACCTGTATAACTTAACACAATTACCTTATTGATTTATTCTGTACAAAGAAATAACTTTAAATATGAGAATCATGCACATTGACTTCTGTTAGCGTTAGGTTTTCCCATAGATCTAGTGAGGTTTGTAGTCAATGTTTTGCATTTAGATAGAGTTTGGGAGGCTGTTTTCATTATTTACAATATGCTATGCCAAATGTGTCCTGGCTATGGTTTCATATTTAGCATAGATTTTCAAACATGTTGACTTTTTGTTTTAAAGTTACACCATTCCATGTATTCCTGTTGCATTTGAACGATGAACGTTTATTCGACCAGCACTTAGCTGCCAGATGCTAAAAGATTACACCCTTGATTCCCAGTTTGGAACTTAATGAATACTGCTTCACTGACGTCTCTCGGTACACAAATAGAAAGAACATCCTCTCCAGCGTTCATTGTGTTCCAGTTAGCGACTGGCTGGCCAGAGG